ATCATTCTATTTTGTGTTCGTCCACAGGCTAATGGAATTTCGATGTAAACTCTGTTCAAAGTTTCTTCCTCTCCAAATTAGTGACAATTATCTGTAACCTAACCTCTTCAGGTACAAGAAAGAAAAGAAACCTTCTCTCGTGTTAATCTGAACATTTTTTTTTTTTTTTTCTAACTCAAATTTTCTAACCTAATTTCTTGAAGTACCAGCGAAAAGAATTTTTTTTGCTGGCCCAATTTCTCTGTTCTGAGATGAAAAGTGTCCTAGCTTAACCTTTAATGTTATAATTGAAATGGAATTTGTTCTGTCTGAAATCCTTTGTTCTTGAAAGAGAGAAAAAATTTCTAACCTAACCCTTTCAGTTGTAATTAAAATATAATTTTTTCTAAACTAGTCTTCTGAATTACAGTTCGACAAATTTTTTAACCTAGTCTCTTAAACTGTAACATTTATAAGTACCAAAAAAAAAGAAACAATTGCGTAACCCCTTTTTCCCAACCGTAACGAAAAAAAGAATTTCCAAGCTAACTTCCTCGCTCGTAATTGCGACCATAAAGCCATCAAGAGGATCCACCGACATCGATAATCTGAAACAGCCTCGATGGCACGAGAGGTTCGCAAAAATGATCTCGAATCTCGAATAAAGTCGAGTGCCAGCGGTGTCCAAATCACCTAAGTTCCTCGTGAAATTCTCTAGGCAGGCTTCATAATTTGCTCCGGCGAGAAAACGCATTCGAGGAGACGTGTTAATTACACGAAATGGCTTATCGCAATTTGCACAGCTCTCCGCGAAGAATGTCGCGCGGAAAAGGAATAACCTGGACCAGGAACAATTACTTAAAAGGACACTTTTGCTCGGGGTTATCCGCGGGAATTTAATGCGTGCACCGTTTCTTTCCAGCCCCGTTAATAATTACGCCATTTGTCCAGCCACTGCAGATAAGCTTTCAAGGGGAATTAACGGGATCTCCTTGGCCCGGCAAAGGTTATGAATCTCCTGAGATTTGAAGAAAAACACCGGTAAAACGAGCTAGAGGAATTTTTAATTCGAAAATGGGACACTGAGATGATCGGTTAGGTTAGATTTGGTTCAGCAACAAGTAGAGAAAAGTGGTATGGGTGAGGATTTAGGAAAAAATAGTGATCGGTGCTTGGGAGAAATATTTTTCGAACCTCTTTCAGTTTAAATGAAAATGTAACTTCGTTCAGTTTCATTTTTCTTTTCTTGAACAAGAATTGTAATTAAGGTGCAATTGTTTTCTTACCTCATTTTGTCATTTTGGAGGGAGAAAAGTTTTTTTAACCTAATCTTTTCAACTGGAATTGAAAGAACATTTTTTCTAACTTAATTTTTTTGTTTTGAAGTGAGATACAAATTTTCTAGCCTCACCTTACACCAGAAAAGATTACTAATCTTTTGAGATTCGAAAGACAACGATAGAATATACCACAGGAATTTTCAATTCGACATGGTGACGTTCTTTCAAGTTATGTTAGGCTAGGTTGAGCAACAAGTAGGCGAAACTGGTTCCAGCAATGATTTATGGTCTACCCACTGGTCGGTAATATAGATAAGTTCAAAGTGGAACAGGGTTTATGTTGTTTCTGTAAATAATGAGTGTACGTTTAGAATAGGTTATGTTAGAACTCCATCATAATATTGAAAGAGGAGTAAGAGAATGTTAGGCTGATTGATGAATGATCTTCTGGTGTTAGGGTAGTTTTTTCATAGGAGGAGTTTTTCCCCTGTGACTCTGTGTATGGCACTAATGGGATATTTATTGGAAATTAATGGACGTGTAGTGGTTGTATTTGCTTGAGAGGTAATGAATAATTGCTCGAGGGTAATGGTGAAGTATAGGCGCACGTAAAAATGAAAATATATGGTTATGGGATTTGTGGGTATTGGGTATAGGTAGAATTTAGGAGAATGTTAGGGAGTAGAATGGTTTTTCGAAGGAATTGTTTGCAATTTACGGATTTTTAGGATTTTACAGGATTTTTAGTAAAGGTTTGGGATGTAAGATGATTTTGACTGAATTTTAGGTGAATATCATTGGAATTCTTCAGTAATTGTAGAGAATTCTGTGGAATTTGTTCAAGTATTGAAGTTCTCAGTGGAATTCTCCTGAAATTCTGTTGGGATTTATTGGCGTAGTGATGTTTCTGATACAATTCAATTTGACTTTCATAAAAATCTGTTGAAACTTCTGGGAATTCCACGAGAATTTACCACAATGCTGATACGTCTTACAAAATTCGTTGAAAATTTTTCAGAAAGTTATCGGAAATAAATCATTCTCACTCTTACTAGATGAAATATTAATATTCCAACTCGGAACTGTTGGAATTCCTTCGAAATCTGTTGAAAAACCTTGAAAGTCCTTCAGAATTTATCAGGACATCGCTGTACACGATCTTATTGAAATGTTGCGAAAACTACGTTAGAATCAACTTCCCTCCGTCAAGTCACTGACATTTCCAAGTAAAATTTACCACTGTTCCGGCGAAATCTGTCAAAACACCACCGTTCTCCATTTCGATCCTTCCGAATTCTCACGAAATTCACCGAGTCGCGAATAATATCCCAATTAGGGGAGGAATTTTTGCTAGGAAAAATTTGTTTGCCGTCCACGGACTAGAGTGGTCTTTAAATCAAGTCGCGGAGCACGCGATTAAACGCGACTCGAATCCGCTTGAATTCAATCCCCCCCCGCTTCCATTCAGACGTATTCAAATTAGATTTAAATCACCTCGGAGAAGGAGGGTTTACATGACGTCGTTGCCGTGGAAATAAAAGGACGTTTCCTTCGTCTTTATTCAGACAAGCTGAATAAGTCGTTTACCCTGTAAACAGAAGCGGTTTTCCACGTTTCCGTTGGCAACACAACGTGGCTCGCCTTTAACCAGCCTCGAAACGAGCCTGGTTAAATAATTCATGAACCGTTCGTAACTTCGTGGCGCGGCGATTATTTAAATAAAATATCCAGAATTAGAGAACGTCGATGAGAATAGCACGAAACGGTTTAAAGAGGGGATTCCCTGTTACAATTGTAAACACACGAGAGAGAGAAAGAGAGAGGCTTGTTCGGAAGATCGGAGCGAAAAGTTTCGAATGCCGATGCAAATAACAATGCTGTTATGTGTTCCACGGATTATGTTCTCGTTCTTCTCTCTTAAGACCAAAAGTCCCTCAGGTAGCGTAAGCGGTGTGAAAGGGTGGTAAAAGCGTCGGAGGCTTAATATTAACTGCGTCAGGATTTAGAAGCTGATATAGGAACGTGGTATGACTAAGGAGTGAGCTAGTCGAGCCAGTAATAGTGCACTCCAAATAGTTGACATTGTTCACTGGCTGCTTGAGGAAGGCTAGGGTCTCTCTTGTATGTGTGTGAAGTATGCTCGTGTAGTTGTGATTAGACTGTTTTACTGTGACACCAAGATTCAGTGGTTTAGATCTATCATAAGGTTGTTTTCATGTTACGTTCGTAGATACGTGTTATATTAGTAGGTTATTAGGTTATCTTCTGCGGTACAAAATTTGGTAACATTTTCTTTGCAAATCCACAATTGTTGTATCACTCATGGTGCTTCCAGATTTTCTATAGAGCTAGTAAGTAGCTGCTGGTTTGGTCATGTGGATAGATCATTTTTATTAGTTGCCATTGATGTTATGAAATTTTTTCATTCGCCTGATTTCTATGGTGTAGGGGGAGAAATATTATGACGGACCACTTGTGAGATATGTAGGTCTTCATAAATGTATAAATTACATAATATAGTTACACATAGTGTTCTCCGGATCAGTGTAACAACGTTCGGGACTGAGAAGTTACGTTAAACCGGGGTAAGGAAAATTGTCACCCACGTTTTCGAGCACAACGTTTATGAGCCTCACTTGAGTAGAAGTACTCTGAGAGGGAACGAGGTAAAGTCAGCCGCTCGACTCCTGCGAAGCCAGGTGGGCATACGAATGTTACAACGATCCGGGGAACACTAGTATGTCACCACATTAATATACAGAGAAGTCAATTTTACTTTGTATTGTAAGCAAAAAATTAAATTCATGCACTTAGGTAATAATTGGTACCATAAAAACCATCGTAAAGTGTTGCAAATGGACATTTTTATTACTGTATCTCAAGAATTATCAATATACCACATACACCAATCATTTCACCACATAAACAAGTCACTTTTTGCACTACAAAATCCATAAACCTTCTCAGTGATCAAGAATTATTACATGTGCACAAGACTTTGCAACATCGTTAGACTATTCCTATCAGCATTTATTAACACCATACAGTCCACAAACTTCACGATTGGCTATTTTTTCTGTCACAAGCCAAGCACCACTCATGGGAACATTCGACTTCCCATGTACCTAATACTCTTAGTACCTCACTAGATCACTTTCAGCAGTACATATTGACACCATAAAGTCCATAAGCAGCTACTACCTACTCATGGGACCGCTATACTTCCCTTACATCCAATGTACACACCATTAAATCACTATTCCCACGAAAACCGTTCCTTTTCTCCTACAAGCCAACAGCAACCACTCTACATCCAACATACCAGAAGCACTACTAAATCACTTTCACCGTTACCTCTTACTCCCATTGCACACCATAAAACCCTCAAACATCCTAACTGATCGTGCTCTATATTACTCACTGCACTTCTCAATCCCCTCATTACACGCACATCACTTGCAGACACCATAAAACTCTCACCTGTACTTTTTCTTCCCATTGAACACTACAGAGACCTCAAACATCTCAACTAGCCATGTTTTTTGTTACCCATGGTACCACCGCACTTCTCAAAACCTCATTATGCACACCACGAACTTCACAGCTTCCAGAAACTTGTGAACCCAGAGAACTAAAAGTCTTCTTTCTCCCACAGGTGACGAACTACAACCTACCCATGGTACACGACCATTGACCATAAAAAAAAGGAACCCTCCCGAAAATACTGAGGATCCGGTGAGAAGTAATCAGCGACTTTGCCACGCAGTAAAGACGAAACGGAGGCGGTGATCTGAGCATCGATAGTGGCTCGCGTGCCAAGAAGATGCGGGTGTTCGCGTGGCCTGGCAGCGTGACTCGTGGCGGACTCATAAACGATGAATTGGCGGGCAGCGATGTTGGCTCGGGCGAGAAACGCGGCAGCAGCAGGAGCAGCAGCGGAGGAGGCAGCAGCCACGGCAGCCAGCGAACCGGCAGATCACGATCTGGCGAACAACATCAAGGGCCAACCATCGGCTGGGCATGTACGTCATCTACCCAGCGGACGAGCTGCTGCGTATCTATGAGAACCGGAACCGTGATCCTAGTCAAGTGTTGACGGGGGATCATCATAGCCAAAGCACTGATCAGGTGACCAGGGTGCTAGCTGAGAATCAAAGAAACAACGAGCATCAATCAGCTGGCCAACAGGAGTGTAATAGTAAGAAGGGTAAAAGTAAGAAGGAGAGAAGAAGGGAGCGCGGAGGGCAGACAATCAGAAGGAGGAGACGAACCAACGAGATTGCGTGGGGACAAGCAAGCAACGAGGTAGCCAAGGGTACTCGTCGCGATATACTTACTAGGACTATGTTGAACAGCCGAGCAGCCGCCGGCGAGGATGCCGCCAATCCTCTCAGGGAACTCACGCAACCGGGTCTCAACGAGCCGCTCAAGCAGCACAATGCGGCCGCGCTCAAGCTCGTGCAGACTGGTAAGTGTACTTCTCTATCTCCCTTCTATCTAATGATCTCTTTGTTCTTCGTTTTTCTTTCCCGCAGTTTTTATTCACACCTTGGGTTGTTGTTGAATTAACCAACAGGGTTCATTAACAATATAGCATTTATTGTGATAAATTGGTTGCAGTGAATTCACAATTGCACGTGGATTGTTATTATATATATGTATGTATGCATAAACATTAAATGGCCAACGTCCATTAGGTACAGGGAGCACGTGACTTGCCACCGATATTCGAATAATCCCAACAGTCTTTAGGGAGGGATTTTTATGGAGATGTTGTGTTCTGTTTGTGTTTGTTGCAGAGTCTTGGCAAGTTTCGTGGGTTTTTGAAGGGTTTTGGGTGAGAGTGTTCAGTTGATAGAGGGTGGAGGGGATCTTGGAAGTTTGGGATAGTGGGTCTGAAACTGGATATTTAGGTTGGAGTGCTCAACTGAATGGAAGTTTTGGATATCAAGTTTTTCTTAATTTTGGTACTTTTCAATATCATCGATGTAAAAGTGTAAATAGAGCCTCTGAAAATTTTTTAAAATATCCGGAGTTTTCGACTCTTCGTAGTCCCACTTTTTCGAGCGCGAAATTTTAGGAATCCTTTGAGGTACGAGTTGAAAATTTCGCTTTATCCTCAGTTAAATTTTTGAAAAATTATTAATTTTCGAGTTGTAAAAAATTCGAATAAAAAACTAAAAATACAGCTTAAAATGCAATAGAATACCCACCTAACACAAAGTACATATACGTATATATACTGTCGATTTCTAAAAATAGAAGAAGAATAAAAAAAAGGTAGCACCTTTTTAAGGTTAGAACGTTTCTTTCAATTTCCATGATAAGTGAAATGACGAAAACTTCCGTGCACCCTTTTGAATTTCATTTCACTTCCCCTTGTTGGCACCCCAAGAATACAAAGAGGGCCGCCCAACGCTGATATTCATGACGTATCGTGAATTATTAATATCGGGGAAAATATAGTCGGGGCAAACCTATTCAACATACGCTGTATACGTACTGCATTAAAACTTGATTCAAGGCCAAGATTGATGCAAGTTAGAAGAAGTTCAATAGCCAATAGTGAATGACAACAAGTATAATCGTCCAACGTGATGAATGATCTTAACCTCAATTCGTATAAACGATATCGCTACATTTGAAAATGTAACATTCCCCCTTTCTATCTTCCATTTATTACGTCGAAGTAGGTAAAGGGTTAATTAAAGTTACAGAAATTCATTAGACTAAGAGTAGCATCTGATAAGTTTGAAAAAGTGGAACATGGCGGTGTTTTCCCGCGGATTATACATTCATACGATGCAGACACGCACTATGTAAGAATACACTTTCTTCTT